GCGCTCTGTCGGCCTGTGGCCGGTGACAGGGGGTCGCGAAATGGTGGCAGTCGCTCCGGAGGCGCCCACCCGCCGTGGCGGGAGCGCGGCCGCAGCCCGCGGGCCCAGCTGCCTGCCTCGGTCGCCAGAGCGCCCTCAGGCCTGGGCGGTCCTGCTGCCTACAGTGACCCTGCCTCCAGCGGCCGGTGGGATAAGGTTTGTGACGCTAAGCTCTCCAGTAACTGCAAACCTTCTTTGTGCCGTTGCGGTGTGTCAGGTGCAAAAGAGACTTTTGGGTGTTTGCAAGCACTGCTATTCAGCCTTACCAATCGGGAGTGGCCACCCGGTCTTGCTGATATTGGAAACCACCAACATGTTAAACACGGGTTTCAGGAATTGACAAAAATCTCTGTGTAAATACATGATGAATAAGCAGGCTGCTACCGGGTAGCTGTAAAGGAAACGAGAGACAGTCTGACAATTCTCAGATTAGTTTGACACATTTTTGACACTTCTAAGCGTAGTGGGATGTGAAGAGTAAACTTAGAAGCATTTTTCTGCAAAAGTAGATTTAGAGTGGTATAGTGAAAGGCAGAAAGCAGTGTTACTTCAAAGAGCTTTCTTCCTGAGGGTAATTCAGCTAGGAGTTGAGGTAGAAGCCCTCATTCAGTGTTTGTAACACTGACCGATTAATGTTAAAAACCCAGCGTTGTGTGGTTGGGGTTTTAGGAAGAAATGGAAGGGTTAAATGGCCTGAGAATATAAACCCAGCACCTGAGCTAGAGTAACATCATGGGGACATCTCACTTGTTTTAAAGGAGGGATTTTTGTGATTCGCTTTTCTAGGTGGCTCAACAAAGCCAAGCCTTATCAGTTTCATTCTGAACCCACTCGCCAGCCAGAGGAACAATGGATGGACTTTAATACCAGAGTAAATCTCCAATATCCTGGATTTAGACTGTTGTAACTCAGAGCCGAATTTGATCTCCTACACACAAGATCAGCAGATACAGGATTTTCCCCAACTAAATGCTTTAAAATAGGATGCAAGGAAACACTGTGATATGGGCGGGTTACGTCTCCATAACCTGAATTAGACTATAATTGCATATCTCAGTTGATGGTGCTGAGGTCAGTGAAAGCATGTACTGAATCAGTTAATTTGTGACAGTTGAAATTTTCCCCAGCTCAGCCTTTGGACTTAATTCAGAATTTCCTTTAAAGAAACAACAGTGTGTTAATTTGCTGTGTGCTTTATTTGAAGCATTCTAGAAACCTGGAACCAAGTCTTGGATTTTTTTTTTTATTTGCCTAAAACTCCAGCTGCCTTCAGTGGGAGCATTACCCAAGAAGGGAGTTCAAGTGTGTGCCTTTTATGTGGTTAAATAGATAATTGATACGGGTGAGGTTATACCATTTGGTTTTAATATAAATAGGAGTGTGCTTGGTAGGCAGAGGTGGGTGGCATAGTAATGGTATTTAGAACTGTTTTAATAAATGTTTAGTTTGGGATTAGGTTGAGTGCTAATTGCTATTAGCATATGCAGTTCATTATTACCAGGTGTGTATTTACTGGGGAGGTGAAAGAGGCATTGGCTATCACACAGAGCTGACGGTGATGGTTGCTGCAGATATGGAGGCTCCATCTTGCTATCTTCCTGGCTAGCTCGGGACTGTGCTATCCCTAGTTATTGCATTAGTATTTTCTCACTCACTAAATCATGTCTGAGATTCAGCCTTTAAAGTCATAGATCAGTATCTTGTGAAAGAGAAGGCTAAGTGATGCTCAGCCTTATGGCGGTAATCATATGGATTTAAAGGGTAGTGGCTAAATTCGTGCATTAAGATGGAAGTCTAGTGATGGGCAATTCCTATTAAGTAGAAATAAAATGTACCTTTAGAAAAGGCTGCCCATGACTCCATTAATATGTTTCAGATTGATTGGTAAGGATTTTAGTAGCACTTTTTTCCCAACTGTTAGGCATGGTATGATGGAGTGGCTTAAAAGCTATTTGATGGATAAGGCAGTGACAGTATCACTTAAATAAATCACACAGTTTAGCTTGTTTATCTTCCTTATTCTTAAGGCTGTACAGGGTAATGTGACTTTGGTTCTTCCGTAGAACTAATCTGATTTCTAATTTTATTTTAATGAATTTTTAATTTATTTTAATTTTATTCTGTACAAATAAAATGGAAAAGGTATCACCTGGTAGAAACACTATCTGAAACATATATATGATTAATCAGTTGTGTTTGCTTCTAGGGAAAATCCAGAACGTACCTTTGATTTGGTACTGAAAGTAAAATGCCAAGCATCTGAAGACGAAGGTAACGTACCGTACCTATTGATATTTATTTATAGAAATGAGAGGTGGAAAAAAAAAATAGTTTGCATCTTGATCTAGTGTCGTCTTATGTTTTGAATTGTGGTTGGATTTGGAATGTATTAGAAAGTGACTATGGTTATTTTATTGCCTTTTAAAATCTATTAATGTGTTAATTCTTAGTTGTGGGGTTTTATTGTTATATTTTCATTTTGGCTATTGTAAAAATATTTTTGTTCTGAGAGAACTACTTGCAAAGCTTGGACTTGAAATGTATCTTCTACAGTTCTTAAGTCTTAAAATGTTGATTTTTGTATAAGATTTCATTTTAGCAGAACAATTGACTTCTGTCTATCGGTGGAATGTTAATTTTGATTAGTGTGATAGGGAGAAAGTAAGTTCTTTTCTGAACAACAGAGACTTTCTTTCTAGCTCATGTTTGGCAGCTGCTTTGGTTTGATACATGATACAAACAGCAATGAGTGCTGACTAGAGCTTATATTAACCATCAATTTCACGTCTCTATAAACACATGCTAAGAGAGATGTAGTAGTGCAAGGGTTATCTGAGAGAGGCTTTTTTTCCTCTTAGGTAGAAAGAAGATGGGATTTCCAGTGCAGAAATTAAAGTGACCTCTAGAAAGTCCACTGGGGGAGCTTGGTTCATGTTCTCATCCGAGGCTCTTGGCCTTATTAAAACACAGGGAGAGAAGAAGTCTTGTTGGCATTGTGTTGTAGTCATGTTAGTCTGTGACAGCTGTGTCTTAATCACAACTGTAAAAACGATAAACTACATCTTAAAATTGAATATATTTCTTCTTCTACTGTGCTAATGGATGCTGTTTCCAGAGTTTACTACTCTAACAAGTTAGAAGCCTGTAGAAATTTATAGCCCCAAAGTATTCCTTTTCTTTTTTTTTTTTTTCTTTTGGTTAATTTCAGCCATCATGTTTGTCAATGGTGTCATGGGTGCATGCCTGATATGTTTACAAAAAACATTTTTGTTGAAGCTAAACAATTGTAGTTCTTTAGGTCTTTTCCTGAGAATGCCTTGTCATGAGATTGTTCACTTAGTTGTGGAATGACGTCTTGGTCCTGGTACAGTCCTTGGGTATTTTCACTTTTTTGTGACCAGCCAGCATCCTTTGGTTTATTACCTGTTTTGATTTGCTGTTGGTACAGTCATGGTTTGGGGAATCAGGTGGGCTTTCCTAACTCTCTGGTCATTGTTGTTGTTTGTATCATGGCACATTTTACCTTCTGTTCTCTCCCTTTTGCAGTTTTTACCTTAGTAATTTCATAGATGATGTCTGTGAACCCTGCTTAGCTACTTGACTTCTGATCTGTTCCTCCTTGCATTGTGCATTTAGTCTCTGCCTCCACCTGATATCCCTTCCTGGGGGCCCATTCACATCTTGGCTTAGGCCCAGCTTCAACCTGCAGATTTAATTCCCTTTCTTTCTTTCCCTCCCGAGAGCTAGACTGTTGATAATCCTTTCAGGTCTTCATCTTGAAATCTTGACAAATGTGGTTTTTTTCTTCTGTGATCAGAACATGGATCTATATCCTTTTAATTGCTTTTATGTCCGTTTTGACTTCTGATTTTTTTTTTTTTTTTTTGCATCTTTCTGCCTCTGCTGCCATGAGAAACCACTTCTCGTTACCTGCAGCTCTGAATGACCGCCTGTGCCTGAATTCTGGTCGTAGTCACTTCCCCTGCCTCCCTTGGTGGGCATTTCATGCTGTTTGTCAATTGTCCTCTGTGGAGAGTAGTGTCTTTAAGAAATCTGTGTATCTCCTTGAACTGTGACCCGAGTTAATGTGGAGACTGTATTGTGGGTGCACCCTCTTGTATTCCACTTTTTGCTATAATTCCTTCTATCCTGCGTGGGCTCAGTTGCTGTTTGTCTATGGGGTGGTCAAAGGCAAGAAGGATGTTTGATGCCGGTAGTGTTGGAGTCTGTGCCGTGTGACTGGCGAGGGGTTTAGGGGTGTTTCAGCTGGCCTGGAGGTTGTATTGATTCTTGCATGAGTCTGGAGATCAGCACAAAAGTACAGTCCTCTTTTACCAATCAAATTCTGCTGGCTGAATATTCCAGTTACCATCCTGCTGTACTTGGTGACCCATCTGGGATTTGTTTTAATTTCTTTCATATTATATCTAATTCAGATAACAAACTCACTCCAGTGAGGGCTTGACATCATATTTACATCACTGTTCTCATAATACTATATGTATCAGATTAATATATCTGAATGTTAAAGTTATTTAAAGGAAATTCACAAGGGACAAAAGCGTATTGTCTTCGCTGCCACTTTAGAAATGAGGCACAAGGCTTGTCATGCTAAACAGGGAGCTTTCAAGTTTGGCTTATTATAAGGCCGAACAAATTTGACAGTTACCCTGTATTGTAGGTCTTGCCTTTAAATAGATTTTCATGCTAGGATAATCTTTTGAATATATCATACTGGAAAACATGGTCCATTCACCTGTTTCTTTGCTCATGCTTCTTTCTTTCTTATGAAAGAGATTTGTGTTTAAATAGGGCCTTTCTCCCTCGCATCCCATCTGCTCCTTGTACTTGATCCTGAAGCTATGTCAGGGCTGAATTTGTGACATCACTGTCACCAGTGTTGCTGTGGAAATATCACAGCCACAAAATTATGATCTCCCTGCATGAGTGAGCAGCAGGAGAAGCCCACTTAGGAGAGAGGAAGACCTTAATATGACCCATGTATCTTTAAGTTTTTTCTTTTCAAGCTTTGCTGTAGTGTGCATTCTTTTGCATTTTAATTTCCCTGTGCCAGTGTGTAACTGTTCTAACAAATAAAAATTGCGGTAGCCCTACTGCATGTGTAGCTATTAATAAGATGATATTTTTATGAGGATGCTATATGCCTGTAACAATGTGACATGGTGAAGAATTTTGCTGTTAAAATTACTATGCTTTTGGAAAAGTATTTTTAGATAACTTCTTAATTATAGCATAACTCTGAAGGAATGTTAATTTTTTGGATCTGACAATGTCCTAGGGCTCTCTGAGCTATAAAGGATCATACATACATGAAATGCAGCAAGGTTTTTATGTATTATGAAATTTGTTCTTAAATTATTCCACTAATTATTTCCAACATTGTTTTCTACTCAATGTAAACACCTAAGAGGTTTCATGTAGGTTAATGTAAATTTATCACTTCATGCATGGTAGGTAGCTCCTGAATTGGTTACAGGCCCAGTTGTGCTAGCATGTCTTTAGTTATAGCTGGATCAAAATTATGTTTTACCGTTGGATACCTGTTTTTGTGATTTGAGAGTAGCTTGCATACTTGAATATTTATTTCTTAATAGTGTGTTTTTGACTGAGTAGATCATCCTTTTGGGCTGCTCTCTCTCTTTCTCTCTGTTTTAAACTACAGGAGTGCACAATAGCATTGCTAGAATAGTGATCTTCTAACCCTTTTCTCATTTTTGGGGCAGGAGAGAAAAAAGGGTACTCTTTATGTAAATATTCTTATAATTGAGCACGCCATTGAACCAATAGCATGAATTGTAACATTTTTTGCTGTTGCTGACAAGCTTTGTTTATTCTTCACTTGGGTTATGTTAAAAAAATAATCTGTTTATTAGAGGGCTTAATGCCTACTCTTGGCACAAAACAGGATACGGTTCCCTCGACAATTTAAAATATATTGCTTACTGTATTTTCAGAGTAAATGATGCTTTTGATATTATACTACACCTAAGATGTTACCTTGAAAGCTGCATTTCAGCTGTATTTAATTAGACAGTTGAGACATACATTCCAAGGAGAAGAAAAAACCCTTTAGGACCAAAATCAGATTGTAGCCCATGTCATAACTTCCAGTTCTTTGCAGTATGGTCAAGATGGTAAGCAGCAACTAACATGATATGTTGAAACGTAGTAACTAGTTAGTGTGACAGCTTTTTCTTGGGAAAATTCATAACCCGATTCTCGCAAAACTTTGAGGTGAATTAACCAGAGTTTGCTAAGTGACTGGGAGATGAGTGCTAAGCTATTCTAACAGCCCAATATTTGTTAATTGTGGATTTGGCTTGCGGTGTCCATAGTATGTTACAGCAAAAAGTTTTACATTGCCTTCCAGGCAGTTGCAGATTTTTATAATTCTTTCCTGTGTCACTCCTTAATGAACAAGGAATCAAAAGAAATAGCAAAAATGTGTGCCCATTTTAACATTGTCAGCTGGCCTTCTGTATTAAATTTTCACTTACAGACCCAGAGGACAACTTGATAACATATATTAATATTATCAAAACTGTTGTGTTATTTTAAGGAGGAGCATTGCTCTTCAGCTTTAGGGTAAAAAGATACAAGTTTTTTTGCACTTTGGGCTGAATCACGCTTTCTAGGTATCAGGAGTAATGCAGTGTTACAGTTGTCCTGAGTGCATAGTCTTACATAAGGCAATTACTTCAAGATTGTATGGCAGCTGCACCTACAGCAACTTTACTCTTCTCCTGGCACTCTTGTCTCTTGAAAGTTATACTGCACCTGGCACTGTAAGATATGCTTGAGCCTAGAAATTGGCTAACTAAAGCAGTCAGCATCTTTTTTTTTTTTTTTTTTTTTCATTCTTCCTTTTTCTTTTTTCTACCCAGGTCCTTCCATCATGAAAAGTAAACTGAATTTCTGGAAAGTTGATGTTTCTGAACTCTTCCATAGGACATGTCCAAAATAATAGTGCCAGTGTAATCTTTGTGAAAAGTGTGTGTTCATCTATGTATCCATGCATAGACAAATGTATACAATATGTGCATACACACATACATGTCTGAACTTTAGATTTTAGTTAAATGTACAAAGATAAAGTTGGTAATTGAACTCATTCTATAAACTGTACATCCTATATTGATTTTATTAAAACTGGATTGCAGGGGCCAGACACAAAAGGCAATGCAAATATAGTAGCTAGCAGTAGAAAGGCAATGTGCAACAACTTCTGTGAACATAAGGTCTTCAGCATT